AGTTTGAGTATGGCTGGAATGACCACTTGGTGGCAGTTAATCTCCTCAGGCTTGAGGACAACTATTATCATCATAATTTCTGTTGTTATATGTATCCTAGTATGTTGTTGTAGCCTCTGTTGCTATTGTTGAATCTCATTATAATGTTCCACATTCCTTGCACAGGGACCATTGTGGAAGACTGAGGGCACATAGATTGTGAGGTGAGAATCCTGGAGGGGTGGAGTGTAGGGAACATGGAAGTTCCCGTGGCCAGTATGCTCACCTAAACCTAATCTACTAGCTCACTGTGCCCATGCAATGCTATTTCATGCTAATGTAGTACTTGGCTGACTACACAGACACATGCTTATACACATGTTGTCAATGAGCCACTAATGTGTAAAAGGGTGACCACTGGCCACTTATGAACAGAGGCAGATGGTAGATGATGGACTAGCTGCATGTGGATGCAGATCCACAGATGTGGATGGAATTCTAGCACTCAACCTGCCACCACGAGAAAAAAGCTTGGTATAAGACCTTTTACCCCCAACATTCTGTTGTTGTTATTTGGTTTCACTGAATCCAGAGTGAACTTGCCTGGAGCTGAAATCCTCCAGTGCTACACAAGGCTTTAGATAAACTGGAGGAAAAAAGAAATAAAAATCCCATACTGGCCATGGGAACTTCCATGTTCCCTACACTCCACCCCTCCAGGATTCTCACCTCACAATCTATGTGCCCTCAGTCTCCCACAGTGGTGCCTGTGCAAGAAATCTGGAACATTATAATGAGATTCCACAACAGCAATAGAGGCTACAACAGCATTCTTCAGCCTAGCTGTCACTGCAGCTCCACTCTGCTCCCCTCCCCGTGCACTCCTCGGGTTCTCCAGGCAGCTGTGATGTGAGCCCTTGTAAATGGTGAATTTAAGGAGGAAGAAAAAGGATTCAAAATCACAGCTTTACATTTTGTGGCTATTGCATCTGGATGTATGATGAAAATTAATGTAAAATGTTATATGATTTTAATTTCATAAATGCCAGAGGGGACATGACAGCCAGGAAAAGCTGCAAAGAAAAAAAAAGTGTCAGAAGGACACAGCTTCCTTGCTTTTTGCCAGAGGTGGATGTATTGAAATTTAAACTCTTAGTATTGGAAACTAGCTTCTGTAACTGATGATTTTTTTTTGCTGTGATTTTTCCCTATTGGAGTCTCTGGAAAAAGGGAGTCCGTTTCTAGATACAGATACCCTTCTGGAAGTTTAGAAAGCTGTTTTATATTGCTAATGAGTTCTTGTAAAATCAGATTCTGACTCTCAGGGCCTGAGGGTTTTCTGGCCTGGTGTGTATATTTTTGCATGGGTCAATTTGGACCCTAAGACTGACAAGGTGAAAAGTGCCTCAGAAAGCCTTGCTTCTTACTTGAATTTGGAACACAGGTGCCTGGCTTAACAGTGTCTCAGCTTTGCTGCTGCTGAGAAAAAGCCACTGGCATTTTTGGTATACTGAATTCACAGATCCTAATTGCCTGGACCTGACTCCAAGCTGAAACCTGATTCTGCCTGCTAGGGGTTGCTTCAGTGTCCACATGGAGCCACGCTGAACTGAAAGCACGTGCAGGCGAATGACCTAAACCCTGCTGGAAATTTAGGACACCCCTCTATGGGGTCACAGCTATGAATACTATGGATGCTGGTGGGACCAGCTTGGTCTCTTGCAGATGCCCGAGGGAAAGGGCTAGTTCTCGAATGGGACCATATGAAGTACAGTTGCAGATGGGTGCTGTATTTCTGATGAGGAGGATGGCTGCATTCCTACACTGTATTTCTGCTGAAAGATGCAGGATGGGGGAGGGCCCTCACGGGGATTGTGAGCCCTCCGCCCACCTCTGACCGGTCAGTCTGGACCCCCTCTGGGGGTGGGGGCTGTCTTAGGGCTGCTGACTGCTGTTCTGCTTTCCAGGTTGGTTGCAGTTTGCAACAGTGGAATGACAGCCTGCTCTACTGCCCTCACCTTTCTCCTGTTGAACGTACCTTGGTAAGGCATTGGCTCATTCAAGGCAGATGCCCCCAGAGAGGGAGTGATCTTTTCTAGGCTGCTTGCTGGGTAAATGATTAGAACAAGAGGCTTGGGGGCAGGAGGGGTTATGTAAGCCCATTTTTTAAAAACATATTGAAAAATCAGGATTTTGCCCTGACCAGTTCCTGAATATGATGTGTTTCTCTGTTTAGTTGTATAAAGATGATATTCTGTGAAAATGCTGTGTCGCTATTGCACAGAACGCATCTAGATGAAAAGTTCAGGCAAAAAAAAAGGAATGATAAGGGAAAACTGTAGTTAGGATTAATGAGTGGGACACACTGATTTTGCAACAACAGTAACAACAGCAGAAAGACCCCTGGCACCTGGGGAGGCAGGGCATGGGGATAGAGCATTAATGATTGTTTTCAGAACTGTTCCTGGAAGCCTTCCTCTCTTCCTAAAGGAAACCTGTGCGGCTTTTGTAAGCTGCTGTGAGTGCTTCAGAGTCCCCTGGGCTGACGAACCCAGCTCACATGTGACAGCACCACCACGAGCCAGCAAGGCCTAGCCAGCTCCCTCAGGGTCCCCTCAGAACACTCCCACATGCTGTCCGTGCTCAGCAGTGGTCAGCTTGTGCTGCTGACAGACTGTTTGGAGCTGGCTGCCTTAGGCAGTCCCTCTAACAGCAAGGACTGAGCTTAACCACTTGGACCAGAATTGAGAACCCTGGGGCAGAAGGAAGCATGGCACAAGCCACGACGGGGACCCTGTCCACTGTGCTGCCTAACCAGTACATGCCCTGCTTGGGGTGTCCAACCTTTGTAAACTCTTTGTTTCCAGGGGATCCATGTGCCGTGAGGGATTGTACTTCTTGGATGTGTGCCCAGCCCATGGTGACACTGCCTCAGCCCTGGAAGGCTTCAGATCATCTTCATCTTACCAGCCAGAGCTGGACTGGGCCTGAATTGACACCTCAGACCAGAAAAGGGTTCGTACAGAAAGTTACAGAGGAAGCCACGTGGCTTTCAAATATAGATCTTTATAGCTAATTCTATGTGTTTTAACTGACTAAGTCCAGGACCCCACAGGGCATAATTGAGATCAATACTGCAGGTTGGCCTCAACCTGCTGTGTCAGGTCCTACTGCTCATAATTCTATAAAGACCCCTTGGCCAAGAGCCAAGAGAGTAGATTGTGCAGACAAGTTAACATAATAAGCGTGAGACTGCTGTCCTTAGAATGGCCTGCTTGCAAGGTGGACCTTTGGCTGACATCTAGGAACTTCAATTTGGGGAATGTTCCGGCCCCTCCCCAAGTCATAAGGGTGACTCACTCTACCTAGACTGTGCAAACAGCAGGGGGTCGGGGGAGGTTTATGCTGAGCACCTGCTTTCTTTGTGTCTAGAGTTTTGGTCCCTGCTAGGTAAAGGGTGTCTGTGTGATCAGCCCCCAGTAAAAACCCTAAACTCTGAGTCTCAGAGGGCTTCCCAGAGCAGAAATACTGCATTCTTGTTGCCAAATTTTCATTGCTGGGAAGAGAGTGCTCTGTGTGACCCTCATGTGACAGGGAGAGCAAAAGGAAGGCTGCACAGATTCCTCTGGACTCTGCCTGTGTCTTTCCCCCTTATGATCTGGCTGGATATCCTTCCCACACCCCTGTACTAAGTCTCAGCCCTAAATGCCACTGTATGCTGAGGCCCAGGAGACACACCTTCTAGCAGATCTCTGGATGGGTTGGAGATTTTGGGGTCTGCCAACACAGTCACCAGTGGAAATCTCAGATATTTGATTCTACCATAGATGTTGCACATTATTTTGAAATTTCAATTGTATTGATCACTGCTTTGACATTAAGGTAAATATTAGACCTGCCACCAGATAGTGTATTATTTAATGTATTTATAAAGAAGCATATGTATATGTATACTACATTTTTAAATGTCCTTAAATTTTCAAATTTTAATACTGTATTTTGACAGAATTCATTTTGTTTGTAATTCTAAGTATTTGACTCGCTACATTATTCTGAGAGCCTGAGTCTGAGAACATGTCCACAGGCTTCACCAAACGGCCAAAGGGGTCTGCACAAAGGAGTTTAAGGCTCTGTGCAGTGGGTTAATACCGGGTTAGATGTATTAATCACTGATGGGCAATTTATTACCTCTAAGTGAATAACCGTTTCATGCCCTAAATTTGATCTGGGGATGCGGAACAATTAGTTCTACAGGTTACATTTAAAAGGGCAGCAGGAGCCACCAATAAAGTCATTTTATGATTTCATGCCATGTTTTTCAATGTGACAGTTATGTATGTAATGTATCTAAAAGGTGAGATATAACCAGGGGTTTATAATGATGTTGAATTTTCTGGAACCATAGTTCCTCCTTATAGAATGTAAGTTTCTTGTTGAACTTTATTTATTGTGCACAAAAGAATCTCAAACTAGAACTCTGAAAATCTACTTCCCTGTCAGGTGCCTGTATGATCACAGATTGCTACTTGCCTCTAGTTGGTACAAAGACAGCCATACAGTCGATGAAACTGGAAATGAAGACAGAGCCAAGTCAACTGTTAGCAGCACTGCCATGTCATAATATTAAGTGTCATGATGCCACCTACAAAGATAACTTCATTTTGGTGTCTGTTGGCAAGGTTTTTTGTATTTTTGAAGCCTTTCTTAAACCCTGGTGAAACCTTTTGCAATCAAGTTAATGGTGAACACCTTAACATGTGTTATAACTTAATATTACAGATTTGATCTTAGTAGGTTCAACAGAAAGAGCCGCTAAGCTTGAGAAAATAGCTTATTAGTATACTACCTCGATCATCTTCGGAAGATGTACAGACATACGTTACCTGTTGGCAAATGTTTTCCTTCACACTGAAACAGTATGGATCAGAGGACTTTCTAATAGTCTATAACTGAAGTTTTTCTTTCACTGAATACAAAAATACTATGCATGTAAAAATATTAAGAAAGTTTATTTTACACATCATTTTTCCACTATTCCACTTCCAGTTCCTTATCTTTCCTTTTGGTGAACTGCACTTGTGGGGCCCACATGCCGTCAAAAGTTTGTGCAGAGCATTTCCAGCATTATATCATCCATGCTGACTGTGCCAATTATGCGCCTGAAGAACAATTCAACAATGACATCGGTATTGATGAATTTCAGCAGGAAAAGGGTGCTATTTAGCTCTGCGATTCTGGCCTGGAACCCCCTGTGCTTCATCCTGATGTGTTCGCTGAGTATCTGCTGAGTTCCCCACTGAAGTCCCTGAATGTACCTGACGCACTGCAGGCCTGGCAAGCCTGCAGGAAAAAAAAAAGGGAGAAGAATTTCATTATAAATAGCTCGCACACAGGTCCTTCCTAGCTTTTCAAACATACTCTTTTCTGCCTTCTCTCAAATTAAACCAGAGCTCAAGCTTCCTGGTTAAAAGGGCTTTCCCGAGCCAGGATAAAATGCCAGGCCAATTCTAAGTTTTCAGAAGCAACACTTCCAAGAACAAAGCATCATGTCGTTATTCTTATTTAACATTCTCTATGTTTGTATCCACATACTTACAAATTGCTGGCCCTGAGCCAACAAATGCAGACTTAATTCAATATGACTGTAGAATATAGTTTAATGGATTCTTGTTCCAATTTGTTGTCTGTGCAAATATGAAAAAAAAGAATTATTTCAAGAAATGAGCACTCTACCTTTTACGTAAGGGAAACAGGCCATTATATAATGATAAAAGGTTTTACCAGATGACAGACAGTGTTTTACCATTCTTTCTCAAAATTCCCACCATTATAATGATTATCCAGCTGATGGTGGTAAACTTCACAGCCACAATCCATGACTTAATTATTTGCCTGTAAGCTGATTTTGGTCTAGAGCCATAATAATTTAAGAGAGAACACTGGCCACTTAACTTGCTGTATCATGACTTCTGTATTGAGGAAGGTAAAGGAAAAAGAATAGGCATTCTAATCAACAGTCCAAAAGACTTAAAAAAATATCATTTTAAAGTAAGAGGTCATTTTAAGCATTGTCATTCAGATATTATAAAGGTTAAAAAGTAAACATGAAAACAGCATGGATTGCAACACGGCTCAAAAGTAACTTTTCAAATAGAGAATTCATAACCTTCTTGCAGTACAGTGTGATACCCAAGTAAAATGAAACAAAGCACAGTGCAAGAAAGATTACATGCAGAAGGTGGTAAGAGGAAGCTGCTTTTTCAATGTCCTTTGATCTCCCATGATAGTAACATTACTATAAAGTTCTTTAACTTGTAATTAAGTAATTACAACTTTACTGTGCTGTTTAAGTGATGTTGGTGGCAGCAATCTTTTTCTTTCCCCTTTTCTATAAAACCCAACAGCAAAGTATTTTAAAAGCACCATGCTAATCATCACAGATCAGTAAAACCAATCGATGTCCTTTAAAAATTATTGCAATACATCTACCTACCACTTCAGCATTTTATTAAAAATAATAATAATAATAAGGGAGAAATGTGGGATTCACATATAAATCAAGCATAAAAATCATAAAAATCAAATGAATAATCATATGTGACTTGACTGTTTATAGTTCATGATGCGTGATCAAAACCAAAAGTTTCTGTGATATGACTGCCCTTGCACTGTTCACCATGTAAGAACTTATTCACCATGTAAGAACTTGTTCACCATGTAAGAACTTGTTCGTTATGCTTCAGAAGATTGGAGACTGTTGAGAATTAGGCTTGGAGTTGATTAATGATTGTGCATTGAGTCCCCATATAGAATTTTATTGTTGTTAACAACCATTTGATCAATAAATATGAGAGATGCCCTCTCAAACAAAAATTATTGCAATAGGTGAGTCGTTCCTATTATAGGCAAATATCGAATCTGATGAAGAACAAAATAAAGCAACATCTCTAATCCATATTCCAATACTGATTATCCCCATCCACAAATTAACATCCCCCATTCCCCAGAGCTCATTATCCAGCCTTGAGACCAAATTTTACTGTATGAAGAGGCTTGCATGAAACTCCACCAGAAATCTAAAGCTCCTGCAGGTCTAGATCATGGCTCATGAAAACTTCATCTTGTGAACTGCACATCACTTTTTTCTCTGCCTTCATACTATGCCCCTCCTTTTCCACCACATCCCCAAAGTGACTTTTGCCCCCACGAAAAGGATTTGTCTTTATAGTAAATTCAGAAAAAAAAAATTTTGAAGAAAGATCAGGGGATATAAAAGGATTAACAGCAGAGAAAAGCCACACACTTAGCAGGCATGACTTTTGCACTAATGCAGGATATATTTGTTTAAAACACTCAGCTTAGCTGGTTAAGATCATATTGACAGAGGACTTAGAAAGCAGAGCAAAAATAAGGGAGAGGTGTGTGTGTGTGACAAAAGTATGCTAAACAGGGTGGAGGAAAAGAGGGAAACTAGTGGAATGTAAACTTCTGGAAGCTGAGCCTCTCTCTTACCTTTGTATCCCAATAGAACAAGGCATATGGTAGATGTTTAATGACACTGGCTGAAGGAGCAAGAAAATACTTTTCCAAATGATCTTAAGAACTACCTGAGACACTTAAAATGAATGCAGATTTGTAGACTATGGACAAGAGCTACTGAATCAGAACCTCTAGGGGAGGGGCCTGGGAAGACTGAACAAACCTCCTGAGTGTTTCTTGTGCACAGGTAAGTTTGGAGAGCAATAATACAAGCAAAAGGTGACCTACAATGATCACTGGGATGACGTGAGGTCTCTTAGTCCTGCAGTGTGAGTAGTGAATGGATTATCCCATTAAATAGCACTTTACACCCTGCAAAAACTGCTTGGTAGGAGGCAAGGTTATAATCTGGGACTCCTAGTGTCAGGAAAAAATGGGTGGGGAGAGAACATTATAAATGCTATCCCAACCCAAGCTGCCTGGAAACTTCCTGCCCACCTGTGACACTTTTGGAAGGATGCTGGTTGAAAACAACTCTAGTAGTAGGATATACTTGAGATAAGGTGCTAGGCTGTCCAGGGAGATATTCTCCCATGATTTGGTTGCACCATGTGGGGCAGACTGTCCAGCTGCCAACAAACCACCTCAAAATGTGGTGCAACAGGCATCCCTTTGGGCCCAGGAGACAGAAGACCTATGCTCCACGACTCACTGGCCAGGATTCTGGAGTAAGGTGACTTGGGACTAGGCTACCTAATCTGCAGATGGGGTGGAGGAAAGATAGGGGGCAGAGGGGGTCGATTAGGAGGTCTCCAAAGTCTCCTCCACCTCTGAAATAAGAGGGCTTCTGCTCACAGCCCCTAGTGTGTTTTTCCTTCTCCTTTGCTACCCTGATACTCACTGACGCTTGGAGCATCAGGCAGTCCAGCTGCTCAGCACCACAGAAATGACCATGCAGAGGCAAGCCCAGGAGCCATGAATTCCCCTGTCCTGTTCGACTGTGCCCCCGGGCAGGGTCTCTGAATCCTTAACAAATACTTCCTTTCTTGCCAGCCTGACTAGATTTCCTCCAACAAAAAGTTTCTAGTAAATTTCAGAACTGGGTTTTGTAAAGCAGTGCTGCAGAACGTGCAGTGAACACAAACTTTTGAAAGCTACTCTACTGGATTTAAGAGACAGAGAAAGAATAGCTACGTCCCTTGAAGACACAGACTTTCCTGTAGTAACAGAAAGTGTAGGGAGGTTAAGCGCAAGCCTCAACAAGACCCCTCCTCTCTGCTGAGTTTCTGGCAGCAGCCCACCCACAAGGAGCTGTTTCTGGAGCTCCCCCAACTCTGCTGAGTTAATCACCATTCTTCACTTGTGCCCCGACACTGAGAACTCTTCAGTGCCTACACCCCGGGTAGGTACTGCTCAATGCTTTTGTGAGCCGAGAAAAGCCAGAGACTGAGGCTGGCGCCCTTACCCGGGTTAAAGAGCACGATCCCCTTGAGGTAGGCGTACTCCTTGGTACTGATGTTTAGGCTCCAGCACTTGTTAAGAAAGCCCTTGATGGCTTGGACTTCAGTGGCCGACGGCAAAAGCCCAGCCTTCGGCGGCAGTACCAAATGTGGCTGCAGCGTCGGCAGAGGCGGCGGCTCATCGCCCTCGCTCTCCAGCCGCCTGGTGGTGTGGATCCTCTGCAGCAGTCTGGGCTCCGAGGTCTCCACCGTCTCGAAGTTCAAGCGGTCCTGGGCCATTTCCAGCATGAGCAGCGGCAGCCAGCAGTTGCGCACAAGCACCAGCTGCTGATCCAGAGGCAAAACCTGGAAGCAGGGTAAGTACTTGGCGAAACGAAGCGTCTTCAGCAGGGCCGCCGAGGCTGCCTCGCAGACCACCTGTGGACTTTTGAGGGCCACCCGCTGCTGTGCGCTGCACGGGGTGTTCCACCAGGGAGCCGGCAGCGGCGCCTCTGGAGCCGCGTACGTCTGCTCTGAGGTGGTAGGCATGTTGGAGAGGATGCTGTTCTGCTGTGGGTGGTCTTCACCGCAAAAGCAGCGGCGATCCAGGAGCGCCACTTCCCTCTCGCCCGGCAGCTCCACTCTGCCCCCCAGCCTCTGGGTGCAGTAGGAGCGATCCCTCGACGCGCCCCGCAGCCGCGCCTCGGGCTCTTCCTGAGCCACGTGCGTTTGCTTTGCGCTGGTGAGCAAGCTGTAGAGGATGCTGCCCTGTCGCGGGTGCTCTTTACCGCAAAAGCAGCAGCGGTACTTGAGCGGCATGGCCTGCCCGCCCTGCACTCCCTCTCTGCCCATCGGGGGCTGCGAGCCGCACGAGCAGCCCCAGCACGAGCTCCCCAGCTGCGCCTCAGGCGCAGGCGAAGCCTCATGCATTTGCTTTGCGCTGGTGAGCATGCTGTAGAGGATGCTGCCCTGCTGCGGGTGGTCTTCACCGCAAAAGCAGCAGCGGCACATGTGCGCCACTGCCCGCCCATTCGGCAGCCCCTCTCCGCCCACCGGGGACTGCGCGCCGCAAGAGCAGCCCCAGCGCCGGCCCTCCTGCCGCGTCTTGGGCGCCTCAGGCGCCTCCTGAAACGCGTGCGGTTGCTTCGCCCGCATGAGCATGCTGTAGAGCATGCTGTCCTTCCACGGCTGGTCCTTTTCCTCCATGGCCTGCCTTGTCCGTTGCCCGGCTCTGTCCAGTGGCGGCCTCCTGGGATCTATTTATACCGCGCGCTCACGCACGCGCGTCGGCCGGTCTCCGCCAGGGCAAGGGCGCGGAGGCGGGGGCGCGACGCGGCGCTCCAGCATGCTTGCCCTTGACCTCGGCGATTCAAAAGGGGCAGATGCTCCTTAAAGGCTGGAAATGAAAGACGAACGGAGGCATGGGAGCTCCTGGACACTTCCCTCCTGCCTCTTATTACACCCTTCCCTGCCTCTTGAAGAGAACAGAGCCCAGGGAGCAGTTATTTGGGGCACTGTTTCAACTCTCCATTGAACCCTGGCATCTAATTTGCTCCTTTCCCCGGGAGGGCAGCTGTGTCTCAAAGGGGAAAAAGTCTATTTCTATGCTATCTTTGCGAACTTTAATTAAAGGATCAAACTTAGTATAACCTATGTTTTGTATGGATAAGGAGATGTCATTTTCAGGCAACCTGAAAAATGTAGACTATGTACCAGCATCATATGGGAACTTGGTAGAAATGCTCCAAAGGGACCTTCTGTCTCTAAATCTATGTATTAACAAGGTCCCCAGGGGATTTTCATGTGCCTTAAATTTTGCAAAACACTGGATGCTGTTATAAGCATTTTAATTCAGTTACTATTTATGAGCACCCACTATGTCCTAGATGCTATACTGGAGAGCTGAGGTCAGTGACCAGGGGGTAAAAGTGGCTAATATTTGGGAAGATAATAATCACAAGGGGCTAAAAGGTGCCTAGAGTGTGAACTTTAGATTCTGTTAGAGGTATTACATTGAGTAGAGGTGCAATTAACATTTCTTCTCCCCCGCCCCCTCACCAATGAGAGACACAGATTTCAGGAAGCCTCACATCCTCCTTTGAATTCCAAACAGGCACGGAAATCAGTTGGCCTCCCCATGTTACCACCTGCCCCTTGGGTAACTAGCTGACTATTTCATCAACCAGCTGTGGAACTTCAGAGTCACAACTCTTTAGTCTTCAAATTCCTCATCTCTAAAATGAGAAGTTTATTTCATGATCTCTTGGGTCCAGACTGAAAACATGGGAGCAAGGAAGGGGACTTACTGGTGCCTATCCACTGGTATAGGATCCCCTTTCTCTTTTTTTAGTTTCTCTGGGTTCTGGAATTCTGAGCATAAGAGGAAAACCTAGGAGGCACTTATTTTGCATTCGACCTGTAATTTTATTCTGCCTATGACAGTCACTATAACACAAAGGTTAAATCTCTGCAACTGGCATCAGATTGCCTCAATTTTAATTCTGGCCCTGACACTTTCTAGTTCTGTGGCGTTGGGTAATGTATTTGTTTCCTATTGCTGCTGTAACAAATTACCACAAATTTAGTGGCTTAAAAGGCAACAGAACTTACTATGCTATGGTTCTGGAGGCCAGAAGTATGAAATCAGTTTCAGTGGGCTAAAATCAAGGTGACTTTCCTTCTGGAAGCTCTAGGGGAGGATCTATTTCCTTGCCTTTTTCAACTTTTACAAGTTGTCTGCATTCCTTGGCTTCTGGCCATATCATTCTGATTTGTTTCCGTCTCCTTTCTGAATCTTAATAAAGATCTTTATAATTACATTGATAAACTCAGATAATTCAAAATAATCTCCCTATTTCAAATTTCATAATTAAACCACATCCACAAAGTCTCTTTTGACATGTACAATAACATTTACAGGTTCTGAGGATTAGGACACGGACATCATTTGAGGGGCATTATTGAGTCTTTCACAGGGCAATTACTTAAGCTACCTGTGCCTGGCTTCCTTATTAGTAAAATGTGGACCATCGTCTCTGTGAGGTAATCTTTGTACACAAGTTAATTCATGTAAAATGTTTGCTTGGTACTTAAGTGTTGGATGTATTGTCCCCCCAATTGCCCCCCCCCCAATTTTTAAAAAAAGTATGTGGGATACCATCAGGGTTAGGAGGTGGTACTGTACTGGCACTACCATTATTTTGTCTCTCCTAGGGAAGCCCACCCTCACCCTCCTCCCAGAAACTGTCTCATATTTTTCTGCATTGTTCCCATTACCCATACTCAAAATACTGCATGGGTCACTTGATCTATAATAATAATATATATTGAAAATGTTATTGTCCATTTCATCATTTGCCATTTCCAGTATTCAAGCTACTACTTTGGGCATTGTTAGGGCTGCTCTAGCAATCTTCCTGCTTGATAAACCCACCACCCAGCAGAGCTGGAAAACAGCCTTCTTCAGTCTCTACCTTCAATTTCCAATGCTAGGTACTTTTTATCAGGTTACCCCATTTTGCTTTCTTCCTAACACTCATCAGAATCTGATTTGTTTAGTTGTTTCCTGCTTGTTGATAGTCTTGCCCCACTAGTACAAGAGTCCTCAAGGGCAAGGAATCGGTCACTGTATCCTAGGAACCAGAGCAATGTCTGGCATATAGAATGTGCGCAAAAATATATTTGTTGGCCACCTGTACCTTTCAAGAAAGCAGAGAAGACTATAGCTCTTACTCTCAACACAGAGGCAAGCATTCCCACACAACCATTGCCACACTGACCCTGGAGGGATGAGAAGTTAGCAGGCCCTGTTGAAATCAAAGCTTTTGGGAGGCCTTTTGTTATACTCAGAGTGCTACAGCACTGTGGTAAAGTAACATGACGACTGATTTAACAGTCAAAAGGCATTGCTTTGAATTTGGGCTTTTCCACTCCAAAGACATAACACCAAACAAGTCATTTACCTTCAGCCTTCACACTTGGAAATGGAGAAAATTTCCATAAACCAATTTTAATATACATACCTTGTTCTGCCCTTCAAAGGTTATCATTTTTTCTCTTAGTGTAGCCCTTTACAGAAATGTTTGCTGACCTCCTCACTACATTGAAAATACAAAGGAACTTCAGTTACACGTGTTCACTTTCTAATGATTTAACATTGAGCAAAGCATTTAATATTACATTAGACTTTTAAACTATGAAACCAGAAGAAATGCTATAAACTATATATAGTATTATATGCGTATATATATATACAGACACACACCTTGCCCTATATAATTCAAGGGTTTGTCTAAAACTTTTTCATTTATAGCAAGTATATATTTTTTTAAAATCCTTGTTAAACCCATTTTTCGTCATTCGTATCTTGCATTTTTTTGATGCCTTTGACTGACTTTGAGGCCTTCTCAAACTGAAACTTCAGTACAGTGCTGAGGACCATGAACTTGTAATATATTAGTTACAATCCTGTTCTTTCCCAGGAGCAGAGTCTTCTGATCTTGTGTTTTTCTTGAAGTTGCAATCTTCTATTTGCAACTCTGAAGGATTTTCTAGGTTCTTGGGATTGACTGTTTCTAAAGAGAGATGGCCTGTTTGTCCTTCACAAGCATTCATTGTTAGAAATGTCAGGAGAAAACTGACTTCATCATTCCAATTTCCATTTTTTTCCCTGAAAAAATAGCTCCTGAGAAACAAAATCATCCAAACACACCAATGGTGAGATTAGCAATCAGTAATGCCAGCCTGCTTGTTGCTACAGGATTAGTGAAGACATAACCTTCTAAGGCAGGCACAGGCTTCTTCATTTGATTTGATCCCTGTCCTCAGACCACTGCAACAGCTAGACAAAAAGATACTCATCAACTGTACCTGTCATGGGCTGAGTTTGTTCACGGCTTCAGTTTGGATATTTACAGAGTTATTGTTCAGTGACCTTGGTCAATTGGACACCTGCTCTGCAGAATCTATTATCTGTTCCAACTCAGGGTGGACGAAAGCTGCTCTGTTTCCTGAATGCAACCTTCAACTTCAAAGTTATGCAATTTTCACTATGGGATGTAGGAGGGAAGTACAGGTGGGAATAAAGCTGAGTGAAATTGTAAAACTGACCTTTGCGCAGTAAGCTGCTCTTGACCTGGGACGGTATGATGACCTGAAACCCAGTATGAATTTTCAATCTGGACTTAAAAGAGCTGAAATGCCTCAGAATTCATTTTCTTCAGTAAACAGGTGGCAGGGAGTAACAATAGTGTTTGCCTTATTTTTCAAGGTCAGTACTGGGTAAACATTATTGTAAAAGAATAGTGGCTGATAAAATCCAAGAGATGTCCTCTTTTTCCTTTGCAAAACCCAGAATGTTTAAAGCTCTATTTATGGAAGAATTAATGGGCTTTAGCTGCTGGCTCATGAAACCCCTAAAGAAGATCAAGTCATCCTTATTTATTTCCTTCAGATGAGCTACAAAGAAGGTAATCTGCTGCCTTGGGGGTCACATAGTTGCTTAGCTAGAATAATGACTCTTATACTCACAGTAATTCTGAAATGTTCTAAAATCAACTTTCCAAATCAGTCAAACAACCACTCCATTCAAGGACAGACATTCATCAGATCAGTTCATTTTACTTCATCTATCAGTTTTGAATTCACCCCAATTGCAGATGTTGTCAAATTATCTAATTAGTAAATTAAATTGACTGGCAGGTTTAAAAATGATTGCCACATTGGTTTGATAAGCTATTAAAATTGATTTGACTGCTCACTTTTAATATTATTCCTTCATTGATCCACATAGGTATATCCCCTAGTGGTTATGGTAGTTTTAGTTACAGACTCCCCTTGTACCTGAAGCTGTTGTAACATCTCCCTCCCAGGAAATTGCTTTATTTTCCCTTCCAACTTTTCCTAGCAACTCTCTTTCCGTAATTATTATATATAAAATGCCTTGTACATTAAAAGCATATTAAGGCACTTAACAAACACCTGTTTAATGAAACAGCAAGTGAAAAGTTTTCTTCCACATCTACATCTATTTTTTTGTGGTATCATTAATATACAATTACATGAGCAGCATTATGGTTACTTGACTCCCCCCATTATCAAGTCTTTGGGGTTTTTATGTACAATATCATGTCATTTGCAAACAGTGACAGTTTGGCTTCTTCCTCCAATCTGGATGCCTTTTATCTCATTTCTTTGTGTTGTCTGATTGCCGTGGTG